AAACCAGGCAATCCCTCTTAATATGCACAATTTTTCCAAGGGGGCACAAAAACTTTTTCCTAACTTGCTTGATGTTCCTATTATTGTTCCTATTCATAACACTGTGTTCGACCCTAGACCCTAAATCACTGTCCTAATCATTTAGTTTTGTTCCCGATTCCTAAACAATCTTTTTATTGTTCCTTGTATTTCTGATTTCATTTATTGTTCTTATATGAATTCAATTAGTGCATGTATGGTCCTAGCCTATAGTTTTTATTGTTTCTAGCTAGCTCTTGGTTCAATAGTCAATGTTCCTACAAGTTTTTTGTGCCTCAATCCTCTTTTGATGTTCCTAATCTAACGTGCTTTCTGTTTTGTTCCTAACTCACCCAGCATATAGTGTTTGGTATTGTTCCTTTTTTATGAACTTATGATGTTCCTAGTTCTTTCTTTTTTGACATTGTTCCTTAAATCCTAAATTGCATTTGCTTAGCTGACCTATTGGCTTTGTTCCTTTCTCAGGTGCGATATTTCTTCCTATATATCTATGATGTGATATACCAAGTTGTTTGTGTTTTGTTCCTGAGTCTTGACCAAATGTACAGAGGCACAACTAGCACTTCTGCCCAACCGGCCAACCCCCCCCCCCCTATTTGTGCCTCTCCAAACCTACCTGTTAATTGTTAATGTTCCTTGTACCATGTATAATGTTCTCTATTTAAATGTTAGCTTACTCAATTTTACTCTTCTTTTTTATGTACATTGTAAAGTGACTCCTCTATCTTAATAAACTCTAATTGGGTGAAAAGTTAAAAATCTATGTTTTTAGTCTAGTCATTAATTTTGACTCTCTTGAGTCTTTTAAGTCAAAAAAATTTTCGTCTGCCGTGCGTTTTTTGGTTCCTAATTCAGGATTTTTTTGTACCTAAATAACTTAATCTAGCACCCCTCTCTCTTAAATCCTGTAACCGGCCCTGCATGTTATTTTTTGTCTTTTTGCAGTCATAATCCACAACCATGAGGGGTGGATTCTCATTTGAACTACTGCCGTTTGAACTATGGTACGTTTGAACTATTGTTCGTTTGAACTATTGTTCATTTGAACTACTGACATGATTTTTTTGTTCATTTGAACTATTTTTATGTTCAAATGAACTATTTTTTTGTTCATTTGAACTATTTTTTATTCATTTGAACTATTTTTTTTTTCATTTGAACTATTTTTATGTTCATTTGAACTATTTTTTATTTATTTCATTAATAATATTTTAATAGTTCAAATAAAAATAGTTCAAATGAACTAAAAAATAGTTCAAATGAGCAATATATTTACTCGTTTGAACTATTGTTCATTTAAACTACTCACGTGGTCCCACGTGCAGTAGTTGAAATGAACAATAGTTCAAATGAACAATAGTTCAAACGGCAGTAGTCCAAATGAGATAGCATCCCATGAGGTCTTCCATGCCACAGCATTTGAGTCTTCTGGCAATTATAACGTTTTGAATGATAAACTTTGTGCATTGAAATTGGAATTTTCAAAAATCTAGCCACGTGATGCCAAGATATCTATAATGTATATAATGATATTTATGTATATTAAAATTTTAAATGGAAATAATGATGAATTTCATTTAATGTAAACTGATAAATTCACTTTTCCCAAAAAATAAATTTAATCTTTCCCCTAAAATAGCTTATTTTTGAAAATATTATGAACAATAGAGATGATGTACGTACCAAAACAACCTCTTTATGTTCAGAGGGTGCCCATAACCTAAAATTTGCACTATTTAACGAGTAAATTTCAAAATAGAATTTTTTGGTGTTTAAATCTGTTAGGCTTGAGTAATGGCAGTTAAAATATTGTGATTTTTCTCATCTAACGTCTTGATCTTTAGACTACCCCAAACATTTGTCTCGGTGCCTACAATGTGTAAAATCTTCTTTGTAAAATGTAAATCCTTTTATCAACTGAACACACAATTTATTGATCTTTGATAAACGTCTAAAATCTCTTAAAGGTCGCATATTTCGCGTACTGCGGCAGGATTTTTGAAAAAACAATTTCAATGCAATTATATGTATCATTTAAAACGTAATAATTGCCGGAAGATTCAAATGCTGTGTCATGGAAGGCCACACAGTTGTGGTTCGAGGCTGACAAAAAAAAAATGAAAATTTTAAAAAATTTTAAATGTTTTTGTTTTTTAAATTAACACAAATATATATATTTATACGTTAGTATGAGTGGCCGGCCAACTGGACCAAATTTCCTGATTTTTATGTGAAACGGTGGGTGTTCGGGGTATAACACAGGCTGATAAATTAGAATTTTTTTTTAATGATTTTTTTATTCACGTTCTGAAATCAGAACGTATTTTATAATGTGGCGTGAAAAAGAATGGACATTTAAATACTCTTTCTAACCAGCATAATTTTACACATTTAAGGATTCGATAATCTTACTTTATTGACACTATTGATTTTAAAAATTACCTATTTAAAAGAAAAAAAACTGAAAATTACGATATTTGTATTTTTAAGTTAAATTGTTTAAAGGGATTGTAAGTTTAAGCGTAATTTCAACTGTGTCCTCGACTTGCAAAATGTGTCTTTCTTTCTCCCCAAGATTTTCCCTTAGAACAGTTGTTCAATATTGCACTGTTTATAATGTTGCATAAAGAAAAAGAAAAAATAGAAAAATAGATAGAAAAAAATATACTTTATTATTATTTATAATCACACAGCTTATTTGAGCAGTTTGTTCAAATACTAAACATTACATTTTGTGAATACCTTGACTACAATAATGTCTTAAGTTGAGTGAAAAAAGCAATAAAGTTGTTTTAAAGGGTTCCTTATTAAAAAGCCATTTTTAATCATTTTGTCAAAGCGAAATTCTAAAACTGCCATTGCAGAGAAAAAATATACTGTTTAAGTTCTTTGTAAAAATGTTTGTTTTTAAATGAAAGTAAAAAAATCAAGCTAAAGATTAAATCCACGGTTAAATAACTAAAAAGCACAAGAAAATTGGTTAAAAGCTTAATTGTTTTCATCAACAAGTTATGATAGTTGATGAACCATATTACAGTTTGTTTAATTTTGCATGAAATGATACAGCAAAAAAATGGATACTCTATCTAGTGATGGGCATTAACTTTTAAAGAAAACTTTTCAGACTTTTAGACTTTAACTTAAGGTTGGGAAAAAATTTGAAAAAAATTTATTCCTAACATTTGCTTTTCCTATACGCTTTTCCATATTTTAATACTCAAAGAAGATGCTGCAAATACAAACCAAGAATAAAAGTTTTATTAAAAAGTTGTTACTTTTTAAAAATATTTATTTTGCAAGTTAAACTTCATAGAATACATTTTTTAAATGTTGGAACCTTATTTTTATGGAATTGTATGTTATGATGCCTTTTTAAAGTCTTAGACCAGAAAGTTATAGAAAAAAGTTCTTGCTCATCACTAACTTTATCCATAGATCTAAGGAGGAAAGATATTAGCAGGGATTGCAGTTGCAGCAAAAGCATAATTTGGATCAATTACCAACCCAGTGTCAACCCAAGTCTTGTTCTTCATATCTAACTTTTCAACCTAAACATATGTTAATATCTAAAGGAATTGAGTCTTTGCAACAAACTCAGATTTTCTAATACCTATATCTTGGCAACCCAATGTTGTAGACCTTAGATATCTCCAACTATAACTTCTGTTAAATCAAACAGTCTAAGTTAGAAATATCAAGGGTTTTCACAATCAGGTTGCCAAAATTTAGGGATTAGAACATTTGAGTTTGTGGCAAAAACTCAATTTCTTTCTAAGTAGCTTTACAAAATCAATTTTTAAAATCCTCTTTGACACTCACCCCCATGCTGCCAAGCAGGTTATGCCACGCCACAACCGGCTACGCAGCCATGCTGTGCCACAACCTACTTTGCGGCCGGCCGTGTTGCACCACAACCTACCAAGGGGGCGAACGCCAAAGAGGATTTGAAAGATTGATTTTGAAGAGCTACCTAGCAATTAATTAAACACCATACGAAAATCTTATAGGTCTCAAATGATTTCTAAAAAATTTCTCCATAATGTGTCAATACTGCGTTCTCAGCTCAACTACCATGTCTAGTAAAACACTCCCTTTAAACCTTTGATATACAATGCGACCCATACAACTATGGAAAACGTAAGACAATTGTTAGGTTATGATCTGAAAAAGTTCAGAGAACAGGAAACATGGCAATTTTGCGTTGTAAACATGTCCATTTTACTTAATGCGAGATTTTTAAGATACTTGCTACAATTGTAACAAATTCAATTAAACACAGAACATTGCTTTAATTTTGTCCTCGTACACTTTAGTTTTATTAAATGAGGGTGGGGGTGGAGGCAAACCGCATCCCTTTAATAAACTCACTAGTAGTGGTTCCTTAGCCGCACCCATATAGATTCCAGTCAAATGTTC